CCTAAATCCTAAAACCCTAAACCGAGATAGCAGAGAGCTCCGAGAGCCCAGCAAATCGCGCTTTGATTTCACGGGCTTGGCGAGTTGGTTCTCAAAGATGGTGTTGGTCGGGTGCATCTTCACCCTCGGCCGGAGAGGCGAGCGGTTGACAATGTAACGCCAATATAGGGCCATGTAGAATTTAGGGTATAGGACTTCTTTTCCAGCCTTTTTCCACCTCGCAACTGTTAGGGTATAGGGTTTAGGGTATAGGGTTTAGGGTTTTGGGTTTAAGGTTTAGGGGTTTAGGGCTTTGGGGGCGTAGGGGGCTATACTATATGAGCTAGGCCGGTCTCAAGGCAGAGATTCTGCTTCTGAGCGGCTGATCGCAGAAGTCGATGGTCATCGGGCCTGCTGTCTTATGGGAAGAAAGCAGGGCCGTGAGATTCCATAAAGGACCACTTGGAGGTTCATGGGTAGTTATAAGTGGGGCTATAAGTCCCCTAATATGGGTTATAATTATAGTTACCCTACTTATAACCCTACTTATAACTACCCATGAACCTCCAAGCAAGGAAGGACAACGTAAGCTTGAGACCATAGTCTGGCCACCAAATCCCCTTCACGTACCTTGGCAAATCCCCGATCCTCCTCTCTCCACAAAGGTTTGCTGTCTAAGGTTTAGGGTTTAGGGTTTAGGGCTTAGGGGTCGTTGCTGCAATTGCTTTGCTTAGTCGCCAGCTGATTTGCCTTGGCGGGTGCATAGATATGCTTCACCTCACCATAACGGTCCATGGTGGTGTACGACCTCAGCTCTCCAGCACCCCCGTCACAGATCCTGTGACTTTACTTGGAGGTTCATGGGTAGTTTATAACTAGGGTAGCTATAATTATAACCCATATTAGGGGACTTATAACCCCTTATAACTACCCATGAACCTCCAAGGAGGTCACACCGAGGCGGTGGCATGATGGGTCGAAGCGCAGTTGGCGCTGAAACCTTTCAGTCCCCTGGTCCACCTTTCCTATGCGAGCTAGGTTGGAGAATCCTCGTGGATGATGCCAGCTCTGCTTAAAACCACGAGACCGTCGCCAGTGACTTGTGGGCTTGTTCCGTAGACTTTCCACATCCCGCAGAATCAGAGAGCTCAAAAGCCACGGTTTTGGGCTTAGGGGTTCACGGTTTAGGGCTTAGGGCTGGAGTTTGGGGCGAACCACGACCCGAGCCAAGGACACCGTGAGATGCAGGCCGGACACGTGGCTCTGAAGCGGCGGCTCGAAAGATCGTTTTGACTCTCCGCAACATCATGTCTATCTAGACCCTGATGTGTAGCACCTTTCTTGAAATAACAAGTTGGTGGCTTCGGATGCTGGAATATGAAATAGTAACTGTTTCTATAGGGTAGCCAAAATGGGGCCATATTTCAGAGTCTAGGTATGTGCGTCTCTTGCGAACCTGCCTAAGCAAGGCTCTCTAGTCAGGCTTCGCCAGGTCTACGAGCAGACTGCCTTGAGTTTACCCATGGCAACTGCCCCAAACCGTAGGATCACGGCGGCGGATCCGTCCGCACCGGAACTTCATCTTGGCTTCCACTAGTAAGCTGGTAACTACTGAATCCGCTCCTAGTCGAGTGCCGGCACAGAGAATGTACAATCCCACGACACACCGAATTGTTAAAAGTACTAAGTCGATTCTGGTGTTTTGGCGGGCATCTTGGCAACTGAAGCCCTGGTTTAGGGATCGGTTGCCGTGCAGCGTGCGCTTGTCGACACATGGCTGCAGCTGTGGGCTGAACCGACTTGAAAAGCACCCCGAAATCCTTCTGATTTTTTACCACAGATTCAATTATTCAACTGCGAAGGCATCCTACGAAGGCTAGACCAGCCGAATTTCTCCACAAACAGCAGCCATGTGCAATTCTAACGGCATTGCCGACGGGTCCAGGAAGAGAGAAGGCAAACCGGGCACAGCGACCATGAACGCATTGGGTGCGCGCCTGCGCTTGTTCAGCGCAAACTGCAGGAAACTTGATTTCTCGCCTCACTTGGCTTCAGCCTCCGTGAGTGTTTGGCAAAGCTCCTGCAAGGAGTCTCAGCACAGCGACGTCAATGGTCCTGCATGCCGTGAACCCCAAGTCTTACGAATCCTGGCAGGAGTTTTCTCTGTCAATCGCGACCCACCAGTGTCGCAGACCCAGCTTCCCGAGAAACCTGGCACTTCCACTGCAGGTGAAGACTGTGCGCACTTATCATCCGTTTGTGTCGGAGTTCAGACCTTGCCTGCAGCATCGTTCTCTCCGATCCTCCTCCTGCACCAGATGTAGATCAGATCCACCCTAAACCCCAAGACCCAATGACCCTTAGACCCTAAACCGATTCCAGATCTCTCTCGCCTGAACTTCGTCGTAGGCCTCGTTGGATGCCTGCTCTTCTGGGGAAGCGAAGCAAACCATCACCAGGCCTCGGGGATCTGCTCAGTCTCTCCGATGATGGTAGAGTATAGTAGAGTTCCGTATGGTACAGTGTAGCATAGTTTAGTATAGCAATGAATATCGGCATGTTATGGTATGTTATGGTAATTTACAACATGGCGTAGTTTCTTACAACATTGTATACTATATAATAGAGCTTATGACGGTATATTGCAGTATGCTTCGGTATATTATAGTATACGGTATCATCTCGAAACAGCTCCTGAACACAAGGTGTACTTGGCCGCATGCGAGTAGTTCCAACAGTCACTGCCTGCACGGAACTCATCCGAGTGTGGGTCAGCTGCGCACAGTCTCTGAGAAGTTCAATCTACCCATAGGCCCCATAGTAGTTCCTTTTTGGGATTACAAACTAGGATCCTATATACAAACCACAGAAAGGAACTACTATGGGGCCTTTGGGTAGAAGATCGGGACCGAAAAGCTTTGCACGCTTCCCGATGGCCTACGACCTTCCGAAATGACCAGATGTCCCCCCAAGACTCGCCGGCACCACCGATGCGTAGACGATGCACGACACAGCATACAACGCCCAGTGCCTCCCATGCACCAGGCTTGGGGTTCTTGACACTTGCACGACTGTTGAGTGATCCTTCACAAATTTTACAAGGCTGCAATGCTGCACTACGGCAAGTGTAACCCGGATCCCCACATCGCCTTAGTTACGCCCAAAGAGCCCCAAGCCCTGGCGCAAGCTCTAGCGCAAGCCCGACCTACTGGGGGTTTCCGAAAATAGGGGACCCCAATATAGCACCCTAAATAATAGGATCCTTATTATAAGGACCCCAAACTAAGGTACCCCTTATCTTCGGAAACTCCCTACTCTCCGTAGACAGTCTGCACTTGGAGGTTCATGGGTAGTTATAAGTAGGGTTATAAGTAGGGTAACTATAATAATAACCCGTATTAGGGGACTTATAACCCCACTTATAACTACCCATGAACCTCCAAGCAGACATCGCCAGCCTCATGGCCAGGCTGCCAAAGGCGACGGAGTAGCCCCGCACAACGAGCATTCCTGCCAGAGGCGACTCTCGGAGAGCTTTGCGAGCAGATATTTCGCAGCATTCCAGAGAGTCTTGGATTGTTACTTATGATTATGATTATGGTTAGTGATAGAATTATGTGTATTAAATACCGTTAATAGCATGTTCTGTGAACCAATTTGGATTTTGGCCGTTTAGGGTGTTGCTACCTCTGCTGGAACCAGCCATGCTTCATGCGAGGTTTTTGGGGCAAGGCTTGGTGCGATTTGCTGGGGCGCGGGCCCCACTGGAAGCAGACGACAAAGCCAAGGACGTCGTAGATGAGAACAGACCTTGAGTCTGCCAGTAGTCTGCTGTGAAGCCACAGAAGCCACGAAATCTTCTGGGTCTGCCGACACGCAAATGGCACTGGAGATAGCCCCGGGGTTCAACTGCAACCTCGGATAAGGAATTCCACTTCATCGCCTCCGACTCGTTCCTCCTCAGACCCCCACTGTCGCTCTGACTCCACCTCCAAGACAGCTTCCTGTCATCGACAGGAAAAGAGGGGACAGAAATTGATACTATACTATACTTTACAGGCCTCGTCAGAGGGCATAGAGGCGTACTTGCACCGGGGGGTCGGGACCTCACGCAGCTGTCAGTGGCATCTGCCCGGATCGCGCCTTGACAATTTTCCGGGGAACTGACCAGAGAGCTCTTGAAGTCCTCCTCGTCCTCGTCCTGGCAAGGAGACGGCCATAAGCCGAGGATATGCCATGAGTACCATGCTTGCATGACGAAAAGAAGGGAAGAAGGGACCTCGTCCAGCGGGATGTCTTCCAGGTTGCTGAGTTCAGTGTCCTGAAAACCCGGCAACTCTCCCTCAAACACAGATATTCAGAAATAATGTTCATCCGTAAGGACTGGGCCTCCACCAAGCAAGCGTCGCTGCCAGCCTGTGGCAATTCTGCAGCGTTCACCATGTCTCAATTAGATGACCTGCCCGATCCCGACTGTGCCACAAGACTTGCACCTTCTGGACACGCGACAGCATCTCACCAAATTCAACCCGCCTGTCAAGGTGCTGTTGCATGTGTGCGGTGTGAACAACGGATGGGGGAAGACCGAACTTCCATGAAGCCAGCCTGCGTGTCACCATTTGGCTGCAGGCATCGTTCACTGAACGCGAGAGCCGCATGGAGGAAAACTCATCCACCTGAAGATGTCTGCGAAAGCCACCAAGGCCACCGGCAATTTCCGTGCTGTTGCGCAAGTGCGACGGCAGAGGCCGCTAGCGCGGACTTATTTGCTTCAAGATGGCGGCATACGAAGCATCGGGAGTAGGGAGGATTGGAATCGCTGCTCGGGCTCAGGGAAGCTTCCTATAATCACTTTAGTCTTTAGAAGTATGCAGAGTTTATGTGAACCTCTCTGCTCCTGCACAGATTTGACCAGGGATGTTGGAAGTCAGAACCTTACACACATTGCATTGACATGGGACTGACGGGCTATATCTATGCCTCACCTGGCAAGACCGCATGCAAGGGGACGCAGAAGCTTCTGCGCTTCAAACGAGCTGCCTTGAAGATCCACGTGATCGCTGCGGAACACCTGGGCTCGTACACCATAAGGCTGACATGAATTTGTGACTTAGCGCGGCTGCTCCTGCAATGTGTAACTACCTGTACGACTCCAACACACAGCCGTAATCCAAATGCAAGTGACGACCGATGGGTAGTTCTCTAAATTAGGGCGCCCTTTTAAATTATACGGCACCCTTACAAACAGCACCCTAAAAGGGAACTACCCAGATGGACCAAGCTCCTGGCAAAGCGCCCAGGAGCGTTACAACGATGGCCAGGCTGCAAAGCACCAGCCATGCCTCCGTGAAACTCCGCAATCACTTGGAGGTTCATGGGTAGTTATAAGTAGGGTTATAATGGTTATAAGTAGGGCAACTATAGTTATAACCCTATTAGGGACTTATAACCCCACTTATAACTACCCATGAACCTCCAAGACATCGAATTCCCGACCGCCATCGACGGCCCAAGGTACATTGGCTTTGTTCGCCAAGCGAAAAGCTTGCGGTAATGACCTGATTGATGCTGGCAAGGAGGAACCACGCTGATGCCCGGGAGGTGCCAGCGAGTTCGGTCTCTGTGCAGGGTGCAATGCGTGAGCCAGAAAGGTGTTCAGCACCACTGTTTGATGGCAACGGTGCATTCGGAATGTCGTGGCCCGGTAGCCCAGCTGATTCTACTGATGCTACCGAATCCGGCCTGCACCACAAACTAACGGCCCAAAGGATTCAAAGGATGTGCGCTGAGTCAAGCACCGTGCGATGATGCAAACGATACTCGTTTCATGATTTTCGATCCGCTGCTTTGTTCCATGTGCTCGAAAAGCAACGCAGCAGTTGACTCGCAACACTGGCCGCTACGTTCTTCCTGCGCTCTTGCTCGCACCGGCAACACATTATGCCAGCCGACGCTGATGCCTGTTGTGGATGAGCCGGACCACCGGAGAACGTTGGCTGAGCTGCTGCTGATAGTGTTCGTTCGGGCAGTGCAATGGGAAGGTAGTCAGCAAGCCAAGGCTTTCGGTTCACAAGGGCAAGCACTGTCTGGAGCTGTATTGCGTGGCTAGTGCTGGTGATGGTCGCTTTCGTGTGCCTGGAAAGGTACGGTCTAGCTGATGCCCCTGATGCTCACTGGCTGCCAAAAACCGTCCCTGATGTCTGCTAGACCTGGGACATTCTGGGACAGGTGGCAGCGAGATTTGTGGTTCTGGCTTCCAGTAAACCCTAAACCCTAAACCCTAACCCTCAGTACTCAGTACCCTAAACCCTAAACCCCTAAACCCTAACCCTCAGTACACCGGGACAAGAACTTCCCTTCTTTTGTTGTGGCAGCGTTTTTCGGGCCGAGGCTCCGAGCGGTGGTGGCGGAAGACTCAATGTGGCTGGGGTTTAGGGTTTAGGGGTTTTGGATTTTGTGGTTTAGGGGTGTAGGATTTAGGGGTTTAGGGGTGTAGGGTTTGGGGTTTGGGGGTTTGGGGGTTTAGGGGTTTAGGGGTTTAGGGTTTAGGCTCATGGTCTTTCATAAAGCTCGCTTCACAGAAGTGTGCTTCAAGACCAGCCTGCGCGTCGAACATCGATGAGGTCGAGGAGTAGACCTACCAGCAGAGGCTGCGAGGCTCATTTGTTCTCTTTACTCTTGCTGCTGCCAGATTCGTGATTAGTACTACAGCTATTACTAACTACTTGTATATTGCTAGACCCTAAACCCCAAACCCTTTACCCTAAACCCTACACCCTATACACTAAACCCTAAACCCTATGCCCTAAACCCTACACCCTGTACCCTATACCCTAAACCCTAAACCCTATACCCTAAACCCTATACCCGAAACCCTATATTGTCATTACCCTATACCCTAAACCCTATATGGCCGTGTATTGCCATCACATTGTCATGTCGCCCTAAACCCTATAAACCCTACACCCTATACCCTATCGCGCAATCCCCGAGGTTCTCCGGATATTAAGTAGTTGAGTTGTTGCTGCATACATTGGAAGGCACGAATTTCATGGTATTTACGTAGTTTTCGTGGTTCGCGTCAGGGATGTAGGTCTTGGCATAGCACACTCGGTTTACGCATTTTTTTAGGAAAATTGCGTAACGGGTGTGTGCATTGTTGGGTTTGAGA